CCGTTCAGACTGACACATACAAACACTCCCATCTGCGTATGTGAGGCAGCGTGGTGAAATCAGGCGCTTGTCAAAATAGTGAAAGTCAAGAAACTGGCATCTTTTCACAAGATCGGGAATTTTTATCAAATTTTTATTTTTTTGCTCAACACCTTTCATGCCCAAAAAGAACACATCTCCGTGCGCACTTTACTGAAAAATGTTGATTAAGGGCATAAAGGATGTAAGTTTTCAAGTTTTCAGTTTCCACGGACTCTCCAGCTATGGAAATAACTCAATTTTGGCTGCCATTTTCTTGTAATTTTACTTCTAAAACCAGGCGACCCCCACCTCCTTCATTAGCTCGCCAATAGCTTGACTTGTATTCATGATAAATGGAATTTTTTTCCCTATCAAAAGCAAGGTAAATGGACAAGCTTTAAGATGATACCTATAACTCCATTCCCTATGCTCCAAAATTGACGAGCGCCTGATTCCACCACGCCATGCCACGTATGTAAATGTTTTCCCCAGCAGGTTGTTGTAGAAATAGCTCTAGGTATTAAAAAGCAGTCATCATGCTGGTATGTAGGAAAGGGAGAAGTCCACAGAAGTGGACCGTTATATTATTATGCGGGGCGCGGCGTGTGGCACAGGGTCCACACGGTACGATGCTGGGGCTTTGGCACAAACCGTTATGTTCCTTCCTAACCCGCAGTATCTAGGCCTATTCGGAGACGTCTCCGATGGAGATAGACCAATCAAATTGCTTTGTTCCTCTAGACCAAGTAAAACAATCTGGGGGGTTACAGTCTCGTTTTTAACACACAATTTTGATATTTTGCAGTTAAGTCTGAAATTTTCTTGAAAATAATTGATTTGGGACAGTTTTAGTGGCTATATGTGTGATCTGCTGCAAATAATACGCAGTTAACTCCCCCCCCCCCACCCCCAAAGCAGTGCATCTGTGTGCGGGAGTGCGTCTCTGAATAGTTCCTGCGAGCTCGCCGGAGACGTCTTGGAATATCTTCTGCCGTCCTAACCACCCTCCATTTCCCGGAAGAACACACCTGTGATGTATTGATAAAAGCCCATTGATAAAATCGTTTTATAATAACGTTTCATTACCACTATCATCGGAGCAGTTAACGTGGACAGCATTGCATCTAGGACATTTGCAAAAAAACAAACAAACAAACAAACAAACAAACAAACAAAAAACAGCGTGAATGTGGCATGGCGTGGTGGAATCAGGCGCTCGTCAATTTTGGAGCATACGGAATGGAGTTATTGATATCATCTTAAAGCCTGTCTATTTACCTTGCTTTTGATAGGAAAAACATATTCATTTATCATGAATACAAGTCAAGCTATTGGCAATTGAAGGAGGTGGGGGTCGCCTGGTTTTAGACGTAAAATTACAAGGAAATGGCAGCCAAAGTTGAGTTATTTCCATAGCTGGAGGGTACGTGGAAACTGAAAACTTGAAAACTTACGTCCTTTAAGCCCTTAATCAACGTTTTTCAGTAAAGCGCGCACAGAAATGTGTTCCTTATGGGGCATGAAAGGTGTTGAGCCAAAAAACAAAAATTTGATAAAAATTCCCAATCCTGTGAAAATATTCCAGTTTCTTGACTTTCACTATTTTGACGAGCGCCTGATTTCCCCACGTTGTCTCACATATTGTACAGAGGGGCTTTATTTAAACTGTACTCGTACAGACAAACCTGAGCCTGACAACGAAAACGTATTCATTTCGTAAAATAAAATGACATTTTAGTAAAAACTGAGGATTTTTTAAAACTTTAAAGCCTACACTTTCAGCTTTTGAAAATGTTATCACTTTTTTTTTGGTTCTCTCAGGGTAAAAAAAAATCCCTTTTGTCTCACAGCTTTTCTGAACAAAAAAAAAAATTCAATTAAAAAAACAACAACAACAACAGAATAGCCGCTTTAGAGTAAGGTAGGCTTTATTTTTGTTTTCACTTATGGTAACAGAATTCATTCATCTCCTTTTGACTCAAAACGCTTCAAAAAAAAAAAAGAAAAATTCCATATAAAAAAGAATAGCCGCTTTAGAGTAAGGTAGGCTTTATTTTTGTTTTCACTTGAGGTAACAAAACTCATTCATCTCCCTTTGACTCAAAACGTTTCTAAACAAAAGAACATTTCCATAGTAGAAATAACTGTTTTAGAGTCAGACAATAACTGACTGTTGCCTGAGGCAATTATCTCATAATGAGATGCTAACGTTGTTTTTCCCCGGAGTTAATGGGAGTGTACTCACCTCCTCCATTTTTCTGTGCTAGGTACGGAAAGCGCCAAATGTTGGTGAGCCCAACGGCGAAGCCAATGAGGGACAAGAGGAACTCTGCCTTGTTGTTCCATACTTCGCGCTCCTCCACTGGGAATAAAAGAAATAATAATAATGATAATAATAATAATAATAATAATGATAATAATAATGATAATGATAATAATAACAATAATAATAATAATAATAATAATGATAATAATAATGATAATGATAATAATAATAATAATAATAATAATAATAATAATAATGATAATAATGATGGAAATTATAGTAATAATAATAATGATAATAAAGATGATAATAATAATAATAATAATAATAATAATAATAATAATAATAATAACAATTTTAGAAGAAATAATATCAATAATAACAATAATAATAGAAATAATAATAACAATTTTTAAAAATAACTATAACACTACTACTACTACTACTACTACTACTACTACTACTACTACTACTACTACTACTACTACTACTACTACTACATGTACTACTACTACTACTACTACTACTACATGTACTACTACTACTACTACTACTACTACTACTACTACTACTACTACTACTACTACTACTACTACTACTACTGCTAATAATAATGATAATGGTGATGATGATGATGATGATGATGACGATAATGATGATACTAGATTTATTAATAATAGTAATAATGATGAATTCCCCACCAACAACAAGCTATGTGCACTTTAAAATCCGATATTGTTACCCCGGCAGACCTAAGAACACAAAGAAATGATCAAACGTTCAAACACTAACAAACTGACACGATTTTTTTGCAGTCAATAGTCGGGGGCTTTCGTGGCATAGAGGTTAAGGTGTTTGCCTCTCATTCAAAGGTCCTGACTTCGAATCCGGGTAGCGACAGAAAACCTTTCTCCTCTTAAATTGTCTCCTTTTACCTCTTTTCCTGCTCTCTAGCAATGTCCTGTCGTCTGCTTTCGTTTCCACCTTCTGCACCCACCCCCTCACCTCCTTTGCCATCTCTTCTGGGCTCCTGACTCTTTCTGCAGCCTTTCTACTGCTACTCTTTGGCTCCTTACTGCTGTCTTTCAGCGTCACTCCTGATTCTCTGGTTAGGAAGATCTACACCAAGCCTTTTCGTTAATGATCCCTCGGTGGTCTAAAATCGATAAGAGTAGGCTTCGGCCGCCACCTGGGCAAAATACAAAATTTCCTACCAACTGAAAAAGTTTAATGTGTCCCGCACGCTCATATGACCTTATGCAGTTGCGAGCGCCGTAAAACACTTACCCAAAAAAGAAAGTCAATAGTCGGGTATCCATCACCACCTGGGTGATGTGAGGAAAATTCATATAAAGTGAGATTCCAAAAGGGCACAGCGTTTGGCCCTTGACAAGGTTTGAACTCACAACCTTTCGGTCGCGAGACCAGCAGCCTAACCACGAGACCACTGTCGCCACGTGAAATCACACCGTAATGAGAGAATCAAGCACTTAATGCTCTCTGTGCTTGTTCTTTGAGGCTTGCAATTTGCAATTATGTGTTTTGCTTAATTATTATATGTTTACCTTAATTGTTCTCAGTTGGGAAAACCATGTAATTATTTATCCAAGATGTGAATATACGAAGAGCAGCTCTGGACATAAGCTCTGTGTGTGTTTGTAAGTTTGTGTATTTGTCTTTGGGTTTACGTGCATGTATGCAGTAGTAAGTGAAGGGGAAGGAGTGGCGGAGGAAGGAATGGCGTGGGAGGTGTGTACACTTGTCGTGACCTCATTAGACCGCATGAGTGTAATTACAAATAACTGGGGAAGAAGAAGATAATTTTGAGGAAATATTATTTTTGAAATACCCTTGAAAGAGCTCAACAGACCTGCCCAATTTCCAAATAATTTTTGTTTGAAAATTTAAAAAATCTTCCGGCGGGTACTTAAAATGGGAACCTCAACTGAGCTGACACCGCGCCAGCCACCACCCCCACCATCCACAGAGCGTCATGGCCTCTGTAACATGTCAGCAGCTACCACTGGCACTACGACTGGCAAAGTAGGTTTAAATCTGGAATCAACTCCACAACGGTTCAATTTCTAGAAAAATGTGGCCTACAGTTTTCTAAAGTTCGAACTTTTTTGCTCATTTTCTGTGGCTGAGAAACGCTAGTAAAAAGAAAGTCGATTTTAGAAGAAAAAAAATGACATAAGGGTTTCCTGTACTTTATCACCGTTATATTCCCTGCAATAACAGGCTTGAAGCTGCTTTTAGGACTTGAGTTTAGCGTATTTTCTAACGCAAAAGGCTTTCTCTGAATTACTCCAAGACATGGTTGGTACACCGGTGCTCACGTGACTAGTTCAAATTTGACAACAGATTATGGCTTCTGAATGATCAAACACAATTAATTCCTCTCAAATTTGGTGCAGATCCGAGCAAAGTTTGAGAGCTTATTATGTTTTCTTGCGGTAATCGAGTCTGGAACACAAGGTATATCCATCTATTGCTGTTATAGTGTAACACCCAGACGTAGTTTAGACACATCATTCCTTGCAACTCCACACCCCATTTTTCTGTCCTCTCTACCATACCAAGAGAGGACAATAAGGCTGTTTATTCAGACATAAATCCCCACTGAGCACACACAGCTGCCGGGCGGACTAGACAACGCCATGCGACATTTGGTACGGGCAAATTATGTGGACAATCAATGGAATATGTGGAGGCTCACCCGCCTGGGTGTGTTGGTGTGATGATAAGCTAACCGATGACTTCGTGTTGTATATATTATACCATTAGTATAGTATATTTTTACATAACGTTAGAGCTCTATGAGACACATATATAGATACTACACTCGTCGTGTTAAAAAAAACGAACACATTTTCGAAGGTTCAATTTGTGGAGGTAACCTCGGTTGTAATGAAAACAGTTTAAAAAACTGCCCCCTCCCCCCACCTTTTCCAACCTGTGGGAGGTTGGAGTGCGCCATTAGTAGATCCTACTTCTTTACTTTCTCCTCTGTTGTTTCTGTCTCTCTGTCTGTCTTACTATTTCACAACACTAAATGAAAATTATTGTGTCGATGTGCTTCTCTTTACTCAAACAAACAAAAACCAGGGGGCTCTCGTGGCCTAGAGGTTAAGGTGTTGGCCTCTCATTCAAAGGTCCCCGGTTCGAATCCGGGTAGCGACCGAAAAATTTTCTTCTCTAAAATTATCTCCCTTCACCTCCTTTCCTGCTCTCTAGCAATGTTCTGTTGTCTGCTTTCAATTCCACTTTCTTCCCCCACCCCCTCACCTCCTTTGCCCCCTCCTCTGGGCTCCTGACTCTTTCTGCAGCCTTTCCACTGCTACTCCTTGGCTCCTCCTTACTGCTGTCTTCTGCCACACCCCTGATCTTCGGGTAGGAAAGATCTACACCTAGCCTTCTCGGACAAGGGCCAAAAATCTCGGAGGGCCCGTGTGCAAGTTGCGCACGTTAAAGATCCCTTGGTGGTCTAAAATCGATAAGAGTACTCTTCGGACGCCACCCGGGCAAAATTCAAAATTTCCTACCAACTGAAAATATTAGGTGTGTCCCGCGCCGCTCATATGACCTATGCAGTTGCGAGCGCCGTAAAACACTTTACAAAAAAAAACAACCCCCAAACAAAAACCCTTCCAACCAAATTTAAATAAAACAAGCTTTGTACTCACCTGTAAAGTTTCCCTCGCTCTCTATCTCTATTGCGTCAGACCCATTACGAGTTTCTCCTTCGCCACTGGAGTAACCGTTGGGAACCTTGATGGAGCCCCTGGAGGGCCCCGAGGGGCCGATATCGGCAGGTACAAACGTGGTCTCCCAGCTCCTAGAGGGAGGAGAGCTCAGGATTGGTCGGGTCTCAGAGTTCTGAGAGCCCTTGTTTCGTAAGAAACCTGGCTTCATCTTTGGAAGTTGAATGTGTTCCTTGATGAAATTGAACATTTGGAAAAGGCAAAGTCTTGCATAGGCTGAGAAGTCAGTCAACAGAGTGTGTAATTTATGATCACATTCAAAACGCCAGAGACTGTTCAGGGAACATCACTTCAGAGAAACGCTTCTTGTTCTTTCCTTTTCTCGAGGAGAAGATTTCATTTTCGCACATATATACAATGCAAACTCATTAACATTCCACCTATATTTCCCTAAGCTGACAAAACGCCCTTTTTTCCAAATGAAACTGGGACCAGATCTAGTTTTTAAATTTAATTAGCATTCAAATTTTGGAGGAACGCCTTTTTAAAATGGTTAGGCTGACAAAACGTCCTATTATCATTTAACTGCGGTGAATAAGAAAAAATGGCGTTTGTCAGCCAACGGCAGTATAGAGGAAGAAAGAGACGTTTATGTATCGGTGCTGTTTTATAAGTGGTTTTCAGTGATTGCTTTTTAAAGTATAAAAAAACCCTTCAGTTGTAAGTCAGAAAGTTGAAATGGCAACAGGGCTAGGAGGCTTGTTGTCTAAGTGTCATTGTTCACTTCATAATCCCACATCTGATTCTATAAATAATTTGGATGCGAGAGTAATCTCTCCCCCCCCCCCCCTAAAAAGACGGTTTTTGTCTGCTGTATGCGATGGGATGTAAGGCGTAAAGGGACTTGTTTCAGCATTTTGCATTCGTTTCGTTCAGAGATGTATAGCTCAAACACTTTTGATAGTGATTGCTTTAAGGCATCGTCTATTTTCCACCTTGTAAATCAATAAATCAAGAGTGATAAAAATTTGTTCCCCTACTCTGAACAAAAGAAAAAGTAACAAACAGAAGTTCTCAAGCCATATCTCAGAACGCGCCCATGGTGATTTGCCCGTTAAAAACAATCAGGAAACGACATATGCAGTTTTTGGGACACCTGAATAGACATAAGGGTCTTGAACATCTAGCTCTCACTGGCAAAATTGAGGGCAAGCGAGGCAGGGGTAGGCCCAGATCAACATACTTAGGGAACCTAAACAAATGGGTAACAGCGAAAGATAAGGGAAACGTAGCTTTTTTTAGAGCATCCGAGCCAAGGAATTAATGGAAAACCATGATCGCCGATGTCTGTTGCAGATCTGGCACTGGATGATGATGATGATGATGATGATGATGATGATGATGATGATTTGTCCGTACACTTTAACAACTGACGCTTGAGAGGAGAAACCAGTCTGAAACTTTAGTATTGTTGAGTACATTTTTCCATTTCACTAGTTTCCTAATAACGAACTCATTTGGTGTTGCTAATGTAACTTCATCTTAAATGTTGAGCCTCCACTGACACAGGTTAGATCATTTCGGAGGTGAGCTGTTTCGGTCCTCCTTGTACTAGAGCCCCCAGGGCAAAGTGGGATGTGTTCAAACACACAAAAAAAGCTTAAATGTCAGGTTAAACAGACTTTCCCAGATGGGAATCGAACTCATGTCTTCTATGTGCGGTGAAGAACTGCTGAACCATGGACATTGAAATGTCTGGACTAGAAAATATATCAAAGAATTGCCAAATGCTATTAGATAGTTAGGCAGTTCACTTTGACTTGAACGCAAAGATATATGGAATGAAGCTGTATGCCCATTTCCAAACCTTCTCATGAGAGTTTTCAAGAAGTATACGGATGTTTACGGCTTCTAAACTTAGAATAAAAGCTATCTGATTTTCAAGAGCTTGTACAACAGAAAAGATTAACATTCCCAAATAAGATCTCAATTAGACCAGATCATGGAAAAATTTGCGTACATTATGCACATTATATAGCAGTTGTTAGGAAAGGTAAAAAGGAAGTCATGCGATATACACACTGCGCGAGACATTAACGGTAATTTGAATCGACAGACGGAGGAGAGTAAGTCATTATGAAATCTGAAAGGCTTTTAGAGGTATACACAACTTTAAAAAAGCACTTTTAGTGTTGTATAAAGCTAGTATAACATTTCCTTGATACTTTCCTTTACTTTCAGCGTACTATAGTATAATAATCATGTCATGTGTCGACTATGATTTCTCAGAAGGTTTTTGAATCTGATTTTGCCCAGTCATTAAATTCTACGACCACCCCCCCCCCTTCCTAACTTCTCTGCCACTTAAAATATTGTAATACATTTCAAGTTAATCCAAAAACGTTCAATTTTCAGACAGACCTGCAAGAGTAATTAATGGAAGCCCTATAATTCCAAACCCAAAGTGTTGCAAGAGTGCAATTTGAAAAGCGTACTTTTATCATCTGAAGCAAACACATTAAATCATTACCTCAAGCAAAACCGAGTCGGACATATCCAAAACAGCATCAGAATAAATCAAACATTGCTCAAACAGAGCTCAGTTGGAAAACTAGAATAATAAAGATGTTTTCAGCGCAACTGTTTAACAAAACTACTGTCCCTGATTGCATTCACAAAACTTAAAAATCCATTCGAAAGTTATCCGAGGTGCAAAGCAATATAGAAACGTTGATGTTTTGATTTGCTAGTGTGAAGTGAAAGGGAAATGATAATTCCAAACTTAGTTCCTAGGAGATTAAATTCTCATACACATTTGGAAAAAGCTATAATTCTGAACACTTTTGAAAAGAACATTTGATGCGAGACAGCAAAATATTCTCTTTTTACAACGCCTATAAAGAGTCAGTTCTCAAACTTCCAGGGGGTGTAGCTTTGAGTGTAATCAGATAAATATCGTATCTCACAGGCCGATCAGCTGGTCTTTTCCTACACTAGTAAACGTTTTAACTGTATGCATATAATTTAGAGCAAATGATTCATATTGCGTGTGCACTCGGCGTCGATTTTCGTTTTTCGGAGTCGAAAGTGGTATCGCGATGTTCTTATTTATTGTGTAAATTTGACAAGGACAAGCAGCTGTTTATGATTTCCATGTCGAATGAGAGTAGCGTCGCACGAGCCGAACCTTCCGATTTCTGTGGAGTGTCATAGCAAGCACACCCCAAACACACCAGACAGGGAGTCACATGTGGATTTTGTCACCCACAACACACCGCGGACAAGGTGGGTCTATTGTATCCCACAGTCCGCTATTTACAGCTCGTGAGTAATTAAGCCCGCTCGTGAGCGGATGGGCATAATGAGAAAGAGAGAGAGAGAGAGAGAGAGAGAGAGAGAGAGAGAGGGA